ATAAAATCTGCCAAGAGAAGAACAAATAAAAGCAAATTTTGACATTTTGCTTTTTGACGCTTTCCATTTATAGGTCAGAGGAAACACCAGCCGACCTCTCATTGTTTCTTAAATGCCATTTTGTAAGGCTGGGAAGCAAGAATTAATTTATGCGTGGGGAGCTGCCACTGTCAAGAGGCAGCACATTAAAATCAATGATTAATAAATTCAAAACACACAACAAACTCAGCTGGGAGATGAAAATAGCATCGTGTGCTCCATGGGCAGCAGCCCCAGAGCGCGTCCTCCCACCGAACCGAGCATCCACTCTCACGGCTAATAGAAAGTAGCCGCTGCCAGCTGTGTGCCTGTGAATAAAATCTCTTTAATTAAAAGAATTACAATGGAAAGGGAACAGGGGGAGTGTGTGTGGAGTATTGACCAGAAATGGCGTCCCTCACACAAACACACACTAGGAAGTCTGATGAAAATCTACATTAATAATATTAATAAAAAAAGTTACCAAGGGCCAACAAAACCAAGTCTGGGCGTAATAAAGCCTGGACTGGTTCATCTGCATCACTCCGGGTCAGGATGGAGCCGGTTAGATGAGTGATGCAGGTAAACCAATCCAGATTTGATTGGTGTAATTCTCTATGATCTGAAGGTCCTCCTAATGGCTCATCCCTTTAGTTATGCTGCTATGGAGGGGGCGGACCTGTTTAATAACGGATTACAGCTAAAGCAAATGCAACTCTAATCAAATTTCGTGTTTCTTTATATCACACCAAAGAAATTTGGCTCATTCTGGGTTTTTTTTCAAATTACAATCGAGGTTTAATAAAAAAAAATTAGATAATTGTTTTTGTTCTCTAATATCTCGTTCCTTCGTTGATTGGAGGAACAATGATTAAGAATATTTGGAGGAGGTGCAGCGTCGGATGTTCCAGCGCTCACCGCAGCTTCAACAGGGTGGCTCTACCGCTGAAATTTATAAATGTTCCCAGAACGCACTGTCCCTCTTTCTAAATGAATCCTCTAATGATGTTATTAATAATCAATCAGTGAATGGCAGCAAGGATTCAGCAGTGATTTTGGTATTACTAAAGAACTATGCAAATGAATCATTTCTATCCTGTCAGCCTGATAAATAATGATTATGAAATATTTGTAAAAATGCTTGCAAAGCGCCGTGAAAGCAGTTCTGCTGTAATCTCATCTAGGTCACATAGATCTGGCAGGAAGTGTCGCTGCTGGTAATAAAGAGACTTTTTCATTTCCACATCCCTAAAAGCACTGGAAGCACTGGAATAATACAGGTTTCCAAAAAACTGACTGGGCATGATGGTTTTACTCAAACTGTTTGGTTTGGTCTAACCGGTTTGGGTGAGATGTGACTCCTTGTCACACACTAATTGCACGTGTCAAACCAATAGGGTTGCGTTTCCTGCAGCTAGACTCTGAACCTGAGCCACAAGCTTTTCTAACTGTTTAGTTGGAAAAATGGATGCAATGAGGATTATAGCTTAGCTCTGTTCTCATCTTCTGAAACTCACTGATTTTTTACAACTTTAGCTTCCATTCTTTGGGTAAGTATGTAACGGGGTGACTCGAGCTGGGCGAGAGTTTGGATGTGGCGTGGCTTTTAACCCAAGCGCGGAGTGGCTGACGCCGGGTTGAATGGGCACGCTGTTCAATCTGGGAGCCGGGTGCGCATCTGTATGGTGACACAGCTGAACACGGCGACTCCTGGTCTGAGGCTGATCCCTAAGAACAGGCAGGATTCTTAGAGCTGGCTGGTCTGATCTGAACAGGCTTCGTGATCTGAGATGATCTGGTTTGGACTCTAGGTTAGGTTCGGTTAGAACGATGACTGAGTGAGTCGGCGTTGTGCGGCACTTCCTTAAATAGATTTGACGGGTGACGTGAACCGGAATCCTGGCGCTGGGGATGTTGGGTAATGGAGTTCGGATGGTCTGAGCGGCTCTGCGGTACCTCCCTGGAGGAGGTTGACGGCTGAGAGGGAGGTTGCGTGACAAAGTACGCAAACCAGATTTCCAACATTTAGCTGCATTTAGACACAAACACAAATAACCAAATATTAAGTCAAATATGAGTGCACAGAAGAAGAATCCACCTGCCAGGCTACATTTTAGTCTTATGCACCTTCTATAGTTTGACTTTTTTTTCCTCATGGTACTTGGTGGACCTCCTGAGGACCTGCCAGCAAGAAGGTTGCAGGGAAAGACTTACATTAAAGACCTACAGCGGTCTTTAATTACCTACAACAATTTCAACACAGCTCTAGTAACATCAACAACTCTTTAGGGGGTAGGGAGGAGGGGTATTCATAGATAGTTTCTGCTTGTTTAGCAACAATAGGCAGCTACAGTTTATAAGTGTTACCCTCTCAGAATTGACAAAGCTCCTCAGATGAGCAGCGAAAGGTCTACAAGAAACCAAGAAGTCCAGTTACCTCTATTTGAACCTCATTTGATTACCATGACTCGGATGACTGAGAACCTTCATCGGCACATTGAGTAAGCATGTTCTTCACATGTATTTGTGGAGTTAGTATGTTTTTTCCACTCATGCGTGTGTGGAGTTAGCAAGTTCTTATGTTCATTTATTTGGCAGACGCTTTTATCCAAAGCAACGTACAATTTATAACCTATAGGGCGTGTTGTGATCTGTGAGGGAATCCGGAGTACCCGGTGGAAACCCACGCATGCATGGAGAGAACACGCAACTCCACGCAGAAAGGCCGCAGCCAAGTTTTGAACCTGCAACCTTCTTGCTGCAAGGCAACAGTGCTAACAACTGCGCCACCATGCAGCCCTTCCCATGCATTCATGAAGTTAGCATGTTCTTCCCATGCATTCATGGAAATTAGCATGTTCTTCCCATGCATTCATGAAGTTAGCATGTTCTTCCCATGCATTCATGGAAATTAGCATGTTCTTCCCATGCATTCATGAAGTTAGCATGTTCTTCCCATGCATTCATGGAAATTAGCATGTTCTTCCCATGCATTCATGAAGTTAGCATGTTGTCCCCATGCATTCATGAAGTTAGCATGTTGTCCCCATGCATTCATGAAGTTAGCATGTTGTCCCCATGCATTCATGAAGTTAGCATGTTGTCCCCATGCATTCATGAAGTTAGCATGTTGTCCCCATACATTCATGAAGTTAGCATGTTGTCCCCATGCATTCATGAAGTTAGCATGTTGTCCCCATGCATTCATGAAGTTAGCATGTTGTCCCCATGCATTCATGAAGTTAGCATGTTGTCCCCATGCATTCATGAAGTTAGCATGTTGTCCCCATGCATTCATGAAGTTAGCATGTTGTCCCCATGCATTCATGAAGTTAGCATGTTGTCCCCATGCATTCATGAAGTTAGCATGTTGTCCCCATGCATTCATGAAGTTAGCATGTTGTCCCCATGCATTCATGAAGTTAGCATGTTGTCCCCATGCATTCATGAAGTTAGCATGTTGTCCCCATGCATTCATGAAGTTAGCATGTTGTCCCCATGCATTCATGAAGTTAGCATGTTGTCCCCATGCATTCATGAAGTTAGCATGTTGTCCCCATGCATTCATGAAGTTAGCATGTTGTCCCCATGCATTCATGAAGTTAGCATGTTGTCCCCATGCATTCATGAAGTTAGCATGTTGTCCCCATGCATTCATGAAGTTAGCATGTTGTCCCCATGCATTCATGAAGTTAGCATGTTATCCCCATGCATTCATGAAGTTAGCATGTTGTCCCCATGCATTCATGAAGTTAGCATGTTGTCCCCATGCATTCATGAAGTTAGCATGTTGTCCCCATGCATTCATGAAGTTAGCATGTTGTCCCCATACATTCATGAAGTTAGCATGTTGTCCCCATGCATTCTTGTAGTTAGCATGTTCTTCCCATGCATTCATGGAAATTAGCATGTTCTCCTAGGGGCATGTGTGGAGTTAGTACATTCTGCTTAGGCATATCTGGAGTTAGAATGTTCTCTCCATGCATTTGTCGGTTTTCTGTGAGTACTCTGGATTCCTCCAACAGACCGAATACAGACACATCATCCCCCAACTTATTGATTAACTAACCTCTCTAATCTGTACGTTTTGCATGGTGCTATGATGATCCTTTCAAATGTCTTTTGCTAGCTTCTTACGTTGCATGTATTTAGAACTACTTCCAACCGCTAGCTTTTTCTTTGTCAAATGAGCTTTTATGAAAAGCTAAGAGTGGGAAAACCGATAGGCTGATAACCAAACGCTATCAAATAAAAATGAGTCTTCGAGAATTTTGCTGACATACATTTATATTAGTATTGATCATTCACCATGGCAGGTTGTCCTGCTTTCTCGCGTCATTCGCCTTCTTTTTGGAATCGGGAAATGAGCTATGAAAAATGGAGCGGCAGCGGGCCGCTGGAGGTGCCCTGCTAGTAAGATCCCGTTTAAACTGTAAACTGCCATAAAATAAAAACTATAATAGCTAGAGTGGTCTTTTTTTAGCGCCTTTCAGCACATCTGTACTGTACAAGTCGATGATGTCATCGTGTTGCGTTAAGCTGCACACTGCGGCTATGTTAAAAACTCACAGTGACCAAGAAGCAGCGTGGGAGAGTTGAAGAATTTAACCAGTTAAAATGGATTCATGGATATTTAATCAATAGTCGTGGCTCCTCTTGTCCTTTAGTTTTTTTGTCTGCCGGAGACGTTTGCTGAATAAGGAATAAAAACTTAAAATGACAAAAAAAATTAGGGAAAAACACTTGTTTTGTATCTTATTAATTATTAATGATTAATAGATTGTTGGTGTTTTAACTTTTGGTAAAGGAAAACACACAATTTCCAGGCAGCCCCAGTCTGGAGAAATGATGGTGACATCAGCCGTTAAAAATAAATAATACTCTGAGGTTTTTAGGAATACTCTGTACTTTTATTTGAGTATTTCCCTAACAGCAGTACTTTTACTTGTAAATTAGTAATATTTTAGCAATGTAACAGTACTTGTACTTGAGTACAGATTTTCAGAATTCTTTCCACCACTGCTGAAAACTGTAAATGCTCATTGTAACATGTTAATGAAAATGCTAAAGCAACAGACGTGACATGAAGATTGTATTGTTTGTTTTATGCAACATCAGGAGCCCTACGCAGATATTTTGGGATGACATCAGCTGCCACTGAGGAACAGCCATCTACCTCCACTGCTCATACCAGTAGGCCAGTATTTGAACTCGAGGAGGGACAGCCAGCTGCCACGTCTCCCCAACAAGATACGTCAGGTAAGTTTTGCACAAGTGTGTGTGTGTGTGTGTGTGTGTGTGTGTGTGTGTGTGTGTGTGTGTGTGTGTGTGTGTGTGTGTGTGTGTGTGTGTGTGTGTGTGTGCGTGCGTGAGTGCGTGCGTGCGTGCGTGCGTGCGTGCGTGTGTGTGTGTGGCGTGCGTGCAGGTGTGTGTGTGCGTGCAGGTGTGTGTGTGCGTGAGTGTGCGTGCGTGTGTGTGCGTGAGTGTGTGTGTGTGCGTGCGTGTGTGTGTGTGTGTGTGTGTGTGTGTGTGTGTGCGTGCGTGCGTGCGCGCGCGAGTGTGTGTGTGCGTGCGTGCGTGCGTGCGTGCGTGCGTGCGTGTGCGTGAGTGTGTGTGTGCGTGCGTGCGTGTGTGTGTGTGTGTGTGTCCTGCAAACATTAGAGAAATTTGAATGTCACATATTGTTTTTTAATAGAATATGTGAAATGGTCCACATAGCAATGTGTTGAGTTACGCTTCTGTTTTCTGTCAATAGAGAAGCCTGAAACCAATCAGCCAATGAGTCCCATTGAAGGTGATGATGAGCCTCTTTCGTCAGACCCAGCCAAGTGGCCATCACCAATCACCAACAGCATACGCACAGAGCTAGTTCGAAGAGGACCTACTAAGGTGCCAACTACATGTATATTTCCCAGGAATGAAGGCGATGGCAGACGTCATCATCACTATTTTAGTGGAACTTTGACAAGTGGTGAGAAGGTGGCCAGGAGCTGGATGTTGTATTCAATTAGCAAACGCTGTTATATATAATACACTCCACGCAGTTTGAAACAAAGTTGTAGGTGTAATTTTTTTCTTGTGTGTGTGTGTGTGACTCCACGCAGTTTGAAACAAAGTTGTAGGTGTAATTTTTTTCTTGTGTGTGTGTGTGTGTGGTGGTGGGGGGGGGGGGGGGGGGGGGCTCACAGGGGTTTCTCGCACAGGGTGCCATTCAGGCTAGCTCCGCCTCTGCATCTTTAGCAGGGTGGGACTGGGAGGAGTGCTGTAGCCTTTTAGCTGGAAGCTAACCGGAGCCTGGGGCTAACACTAGCGACATGAAGGTCGGTTGGTTCACCGGCACGTGTCGGAGTCAGCCCGGTAAAAATGATTAATGACACCGAGCGGAGTCACGTTCACGTTTGAAAGCAGCGCTGAGTCCAGAAACCTCAGCACAAAGTGTGTTTGTTGCTCTGAGTCTGAGCCAGCATGACGAACAAGGGAACTGCGCCGCAAACTCAGTTCGGGTGTTGCTTTCCAAAAGGGTTCTACGTAGGGGGGCGGGCGTATTATGTGAACGGGACCATCTGATTGGTCGCATATCAGAAGGACTACATTTGATTGGTCAAATAATACTTCCGCGTAAAAAACAGAGCTGGTTTACAAAAAGCTGATGTATGACATGGATGGAAATGTTTGAACCAAACTATTGCTGTTTTTGCCGTGTTTTGCGATGGGCCTATTGCACGTCCTGTTATCGCGATGACGATAATTTTTCGATGTATTGTGCAGCCCTAGTTGTACCCAATGTGCAGCAGTACCGGGACCAGAGTGAATAGGGTGTGTATGGGGAGCATGAGTGGGTGGCCGGCGTGCATTTTTGTAAGTCTTGGGTTGTATGTGCATGTGTGAGCATGAGGGAGGGAGTGTGTGACTGTGTTTGTGTATGACTGTATAGCCCCCTTCAGACAGGCCATGAAAAACGGAAATGTTCTGGACTCTGTCCGTAAGACCTTTGTGTCTGAATACAAACATCCGGATAACGTGTTCCGGAATTTTACCGGACGAAGCCCCTAGTAACAGGTCCGGACTTGTTACGGACAGGGTGGCTGCTTCAGACTGGTGAGGTAAAGTTCCGGACAAGGGGGAGGGGGAGGAGGAGGGGACCGGGGGACGCTGTGCGCACCTGGATAACTCGCTCCTGTGGCATGCGGTGAACCACGGCAGCTCGCCTCCTACGGTACCGCCTAGACGCGCAACGGAGCGCTTCACACCGCTTCAGTGATTCCTTTAACCGTTGAGCTTCATCATCCAGGTCTCTTATGCGTCTTCGTGTGCGCAGAATTATGCTTAAGCGCCTCGTGATTTTTATCTTGAGAGGCGCTATAGAAATTATATTTTTTTCTTCTTCTTCTTCTTCTTCTTAACACAAGTCCGATCGTGAGGCTGCGGGCGGGCCTGTGGGCTTGCCGCTGACATCTCCCAGGACTCTGCCGGCTGCTGGTTGTGGCCCCCCGGGGCGATCCTCTGCACCTATCGAGGGGGGCGGGGGCCTTTCTGGTTGCAGTCTCCTTGGGGTTCCTGTGCTCTGGGGCAGCACCTGGATCTCTGGGACCTGGAGCTCCCCCCGTCTCCTACACATCTTTGGGGGGCAGATCTGTGGCCCCTCACACTCTCTGTTGGATGCTCCTATAGAGAAACCTTACATAAACAAGCGCGTGTACACACACAGGTGCTCACATGGTGCTCTCATTAGTATGGACTTGGGCACGTTCAACACAGGTCTTAAGGCTATGGTGGGCACTAAATGCACTGTGATTTATTATCGTGTGATTGTTCAGTTAAACAATGTTGATTATATATTTCTTCATCAAGTTGACGCAGTGATAGCTTGATCTTGTTGTATTGTTGTTGTGTCCCCTTTTTTTTTTGTTCTTTTGCTTTTTTCCCTTGTCTTTGTCTGCAGGTCTAGAAGCAGACTCTTGTTCATTATTGTTTATTTTTGTGGAACCCCCCCCCCACCCCCTTCCCCCCTCTCTCCCCATCTTTTGTCTTTTCCTTTCTCTTTCACCTCTGTCTCTGTGTCTGGTCGGAATTACAAAGCATTCAACAACAATAACAATAAAGTTTTAAGTATCAGGCGTGACATTAAAAGCAAACGCTTTGATGCTCCACCTGAGAGTAAATCTGTAAGGCTTGTTACCAGCATTCAGACATCAATTCTCTTTGCTTCACAGCCAGACAGGACACGGGGGGGGGGTTAAAAAAAAAATAATAAATATAAATTCATAAAGTCCAGGTTGTGCTGAAAAGATTGATACCACATAAGGCAGTGGTTATGGTTTTTATTTTGGAAATACAAAGGAAAACTCTAAATTAGCCAAAAACGGCAAATTACACCCTGGACCCCAGAGGGTTAAACACTGAATGTATGGTGTAACTAAGGTGAAGTGAGACGGAGAATGGTGTAGTGTGGAATGTTGTTCAGAACCAGCAAATCCGGAGAAACGATTAGTTCTGATGGGAGTGAAGACGATGTTTTCGCGCTAAGCTTTGGTTTGGAGATTTATAACACACATTGAGACGCCATTCTGCCGGCCTACGTACCCTTTCGGAATGTCGAGGTCCAGCTTGACCCTCTCTGGAACCGAAGCCAGTAGGAAAAGCAGCGGTTGCCGACCAGACCAGTCTTGAGATACTTCCGGGTCACGACAGTTTCGTTGGCATCTAGCAAGACCCAAAAAGGGGTCGTGATGATTCAACTTTTATTCTGAAAGGAACCGTTGCAGCAGGTGGAGCAGCAACAGATTTAATCCAGCTTGTCGTTGGTTTTTTTCGGCTGAAGAGGAAAGTTACGGATTGGCCACTCCGACAACTTCTCTAGAACGCTTTGAACTGGCGTTAAAGATGACATGGGCATAATTTTATAATTTGGATGTTGTGATTTACGGTTGAATCAAAATGGGGCTGATTTACCAAGCACCACCAAAACCACGCCTCCGTCAGATCTGGAAGATTCTGATTGGATCATTAAAAGCAAATGTGTCATGTGGCTTAACCTTACGTGTGGTCAGTCTCTAGTGGAAATATTTAAAGTTATATTACTTATTATATTCTGTAGGATTATAATATCAAGTAATTAATATTTTCATTTCACAGATTGGCTCACATCTTATTATTGACTAACACTTTGTTTGATTAGCTCATTAAAAATAGAGTTCTTTGATTTATTAAACAGAACGAGTCCTTTGTCTTCATTCTTCTCTTGGGCTGGAAAGGAAAACAGTTTAGAAGCAGAGCATGAGACCTTGAACAATATCTCATGCAGATTAGTTCTTGCTGAGGAGAAGGGGGGAAAGGACTTTTAGGTGGAAAACAGTCATTTCATTCTGTTATACCACACAAAGTCTGAGGTCACCTGACTTTTTCCTGATGTCACAGAGAGGAAATGTTGTTCTGTTGTCTTGTTTTATATTGCATGTTTTTTTTTACTTCATGTGGTGTTTTTAGGTTGATTTTTAACAGTTCAGGTGTTTTAAAAGATTGCTGCAACATTGCAGCCCAGTCTGTGTTAATCCTCCCTAATTGCCCACACCTGAGAGCGGGGTGTGGACTGGCAGAGAATGAACAGTGGCAGAACAGAGGGTTGAGGGTCAGTGGGGCGAGCGGATGTGGAGACGAGAGGACGGTGAGGGGAAAGGAAAAACACTCGCCGGAGCCAGACGCAAGCAGGGAAGGAGATCCACCAGGCACGGACAACAGCATCAGCGGCAGGAGAAACAGCAGCCTTCCACACCTGTGTGGCGCGCGCACGACAGTAGCAGCGGCGGAGGAAGAGGGATCCGCGGCCGGAGGGCCAGGCACGGAGTGCAACACGGAAGGCAGGCAGAGTTACTCTGCCCCTGCCAGTAAGTATTTGAGCAGTGCCTGGCAGTGGTTGGAGTTGCTGTGGGGCCTTTTGACTGCCAAGAGGTTTTTGTGTGAATGGGTCCACAGGGACTGAGGAGGAGGATTGAATCCACCGGACGTTCAGCCTGTGGATCCCCGCGGACGACGTTCACCGCAGGAGGGCGGGGTCGTGGAGGTTTCACCTGGCGAGCGCATGCGGGGGGCGGACTGGACTGCCTTGTCCTCTGGGGGCCCAGTAGACGTTATTGTGGGGGTCATCTTGGGCATCATCATCTGAGCTTTTAGAGTGAATTCTTTTTTAAAAATTTGCTTTTGTGGTTGCGCTGCTTGCCTTGGTTTTAAAATCTACTCTCTTAAATTTTAGTGGCACCCTTTATATCCACCTGATACGTGTCACACTATTGCAGACTATTGGTGATGAGTAAAGCCTGGTTCATGCTTCTTCGTCAGCTCCGCAAGGGACAGACACGCACGGATTGACGGAAGCGTTTTGCTCTCATACTTCTCCGTCTCCTGGAGAGTGTTGCAAAGCAATTCCCCGGCAGGACAACAGAGGGCGTAGCGCTGTTCTGTGGTATCCTGTCATGTATCGGTCCAAGATCGTGTGTTTATATTGTGTTTTTTGTGTATATAAGAGACTTTTTAACACGGACATATTTGTCTCTCATTCTCCCACCGCTTCATGCGCTCGCCACCTCTAAACCCACATTTCCTGTCATTTCCGTCCACAAATAAAACGCTTGCTGCGCATCTTTTCACTCCTCCAGTCACGGGAGAATTAAACGTTCATGTTTTTAGAGTTTTTTTGCGAGGTATTCTTCAAGCTTCTCCGTGTCTGCCGCTAGTTATCCTCGGCTCTCTTTGCAATGGCGGCGCTGTAAACAACAGCGGCGTCCTGACCAATCACAAGCTTGCGTAATCCGTCTCATTCGACGGATGTTTAAAAAAGTGGGCTCGACTCCGTACGTACTTGCGTGCCCTACGCAAGGACGGATAATGGCGTTGCGTGTCTCCGCACTGACGCAGACGGAGAAGCATAAATCAGGCTTACTTAAGGCGATTTTGATTTTGTGAACCACCCTCTACTTATCAAGTCCTGCAGATAAGCTTTTACTTCCTGATGCAGAGGTTTAGGCATGCTAATG